AGCTGAGGCCGCTGGTTTGCAAGCCCAAGAGGGAGAGAAAGGCAAACTTTGGCTCCAGGTGGCTAGCAGGCTTAGTCCCCCACACCACCAAAATTCCCGGAGCTCTGGGCACAAGGATCCGCACCAAGAACTACAGATCATCCTGGAGGTGCCCGGCTTAGCAGGAAAGGGTGTCCAAGGTGAGTGTCGTTTGTTTGCCGTCAGCAGGGTCCGAAGCCTCCTTCCGCCTTGCTGCCCGGCTGCCCGCTCTGGTTTGGATCTGGGAAACGCATGGGGGCGGGGGGGCTTTCGGAGGCTTCTTCTTCCTCTCCTTCTCTTCTCTCCTTTTTTTTTTTTTTCTCTCCCTCCTCTTTCTTTCCTGCCTCTTGCATTTCTTGCAAATTGCTCTCCAAATTTCAAAGACACTGGTGTTGGTGGGGAGGACTCCGGAGAGAAAGAGCTGCAAGGGGAAATCTCTGAGCGGGAGAAACGTACCTCGTCCCTGAACTTCTGTGTGTTGCGGCTTCAGGAGCCAAAAAAGCTGGAATCTGTTAGTGAGGAGAAAAGTGCTTTATCAGAAACACATTGGCTGCAGGAGAAGCTGCGCGCTGCCGGTAAAGATGGTTTCAGAGAAGGAAAGGAAGGAACAGAGACCCTGGGCTTGGCTAAGACAAGGCAGAGACGCGTTCAGGCAAAGGCACCTGGCAGGATTCAGACCTACGACACCACCTACCCCTGCCACTAAAAACTGAGGACCCGGGTATAGATTTTCGGGCGTCCGAGTTGCCAAATCCGTTTTCCTTCGGAAGGGTGGGGAACTCTGGGACCTCCGGACTGCTGAGTCCCTCACCCTAACGGGAGAGTGCGGCTGCTGGGCGCCGGCTGAGTTGTGGTGGGGATGTGGGTGGGGTCAAGTCCCCAAGGGTCTGAGGGCTGGGGCCCCCCAGCGGTCCGCCCCCGCTCTTCCGCCGCCGGGCCAGGGACAAGCACTGGGCGTCCGCAGGTGCGAGACTCCCCAGATCACGGGAAAGGTGGGCGTCTCCGATGGCGAGCAGGCGAGGGTAACGAGACCGACTGCGGGAGGAGACCAAGGATGTGAGCCGGCTCTCAGTCCTCACCAGCGCCCAGCCCGAAGTTCGGGCAGAGGCGGCCGAGGAGGGGGAGGGCGCTCGGGACCTCACCAGTAGGACCTTTTTTCGCCCGACCGGGGGTGGGTGTGGGGGCAACGTAGCTCCCCAACGTCCGTCCGCAGTCTTCTCCCGCGTCTTCACCACCGAGTGACCGAGGTTTCTCCCATCCAGGCTGGTTCGCGGGCCTTCCCGACCCTTCCTCACCAACTCAGGATGTTTCAGACGGTCCCCGACACGTCGTCTTACGTCAAGGTAAGACCTGACAGCGTCTTTCAACAGGTAATGACCTCCAGCCCCTCTCACTCGCACCCAGGGCCTGTGACCCCTACCCCCGCCCCCCTGTCCCCCGGGAGAAGCGGGGAGAGGAGGTAGCGAGCCGCGCTCCGGGCGGGAGGCTGGCGGTTCAGCGGCGGAAAGGTCGTGGTTTGAGGAATATCTTTCTGGCCGTTTCTGTGGAGGAGACTGGAAGTGGGCGACTTTGGGCAAAGATGTGCGAGGGGGGCCCAGACGCGCGCCGGCGAAGGGTAGCCGCGGGCGCAGCGCTCCGCGCGGCTGGCGCACCACGGGGTCCCCAGCGCTCAGGGTGTGCGCGGGTGCGCCAGTGCGCGTGCGGTTGTGAGAGAGGCGCGGGCGCCACGCGCTCCTCCCACGGTCTGGACACTCGCTGCCTCAGCCCCCAAGCTCGCGTTCCACGGCCCGCCCGCCCCCCGAAAAAGCAGATTGCTGTATTTGACCCCACACCGGAGAGGTTTTTTTTTTTTTTCTTTTCCACAACAGTTCCCAAGAATGTAAACAAACCGAGACTGGGACATCTGGGTTACACGTTTAATGAAAATCCGCTGGCGGGGCGGGGCGGGGCGGGGCGGGGCAGGGCAGGGAGCGCGCACCGGGCGACCCTGCCCAGGATGGTGACGGCGGCGAGGTCCTTGCGCAGCTCTGCCCGAGCCGCCCTGGGAGGAGGAAGTGCTCGCGTTGGTGCTACAAAGAAACCCCGACAGCCTGCCAATCTCGGGCTTGAGGCTCCGCCCTGGAGCCCCGCCTCCACCAGGACCCCGCCCCTTGCGCCCTAGGGGTCCGAGGAATGCCAAGGCGGCGCCTGGGCCTCTCCATCTCACCTGGATGGGGCGCGCGTGCTGGGGGCTTTTTCCGTGAGCGCCAGCTCTGCGTGCAACCCTACTCTGATCGCTCTGAAGAGTAACCTGGCGCGCGGACGTACCTTCCCAACCCCTCCCTGAGATCTGAAGGAGTCTGTGGTTGGCACTTCAGGGCTGGGGAGGCCGCATCCTGCTGGCTTGGCCCGGGAGAGATGCTTAAAGGACGACGATTCAGTGAGCGAAGGAATGAATGAATGCATAGAAAGGAGTCAATCAATGCATCAGTAATCGGTGGGTGGACGGAGCCACCCCTGGCTCCCGGGAGGTTCCAGAGCCCGCGGGGAAAGGACAACACGCACGGGTTCGCTGTCCGGTTCTCCGGAGATGCTGGAGAAGCTGCAACCCCCCCCCCCCGCTGCCACCACAGCTCCCACTTCCCAGCTCTGCCCTAAGGACTGTCATTGGCACCTGGGCAGCGAGTTTGGGTGCCTCCTATTCACACAGACCCCGGAGGGCACTCACTGCGGAGACCCAGAGCCCAGGTCTAGGATGAGGAACCTGGGAGTGGCAAGTGGGAGCCCAGGAGCTGGAGGCAGGCCAAGGGTCAGGGAGAAAACAAACCAGTCCCGGAGAGCAGAAGGGACCAGCCTGGGGTACAGGAGGCTGCCAGAGCAGCCCTCGCCGCAGGAGCTCTTTCAAGGGGGAAAAAATGGATTTTTCAGCAGCCACAAAGTTTGTATTGTTGCACAAAGGGGTGCATTGATGAGGCGAAAGGTCTGCATGGCAGAGACAATCTTGGGTCTGTTCCGCCGACCATTTGCCAGAGGGGCACACACTGACTGCCAAGCCCCAGCCATTCCCTGTCAGGCATGCAGCTCTGGGGTTGTTGACAAACACAGCGGGCTCTGAGGGATCAAGGGTGCCCATTCCACAGCCTCAGGATCTGAACCAGGCCCACAGAGAACTCAGGGGTTGGGGGGAGCCCAGGGAGAGGATGAGGTGGGAAAGGAAGCTATGCCATTAACAGGCAGCCCTTATCCTGGCCAGGGTGGTGGATGGAGTCCTTAATACAAATGAAGATTCTAGAAGGCAGTGCTTGTAGAAGATGAGAAAGAGGCATTGACAGGTCAAGTGATAGAGCTTGTGCGGGGCAGAGTCAAGAGGCGGCTAATGAGGCCCAAGTTCTGAGGACCACCACGGCAAGTTCCAGACACGTCTCCCTGCAGCAGTGCGTTGGACCAATCTTGTGACAGTGCAGAGGGAGCACCAGCGGGGTTGAGTGCAGAGCTAGCATGAAACCTGGGGAGTCTGATCCCCAACCAGGAAGTTCAAACGCTGCATTCCGCACGGGAACTGGGAGGCCAGGGAGCCGAAGCGGGGGTAATGCCGACCCGTGCCAGAGGCAAGGTGTGCGGCGCTCGCGGGCGCATCCTTGGAAGCTCCTCAGCCGCTGGTAGGGTCCTCCCATTTCCCTTTGTGGGCGTCTCCCCAGACGCTTGCCCACCTACCACCCTGCGGATTCGGCCCATGCTTCATCCTAGGGCAGACGTCCGCCCCCGGAAGAAAGGTGTCTGCTAAACCCGGAGCGCGCACAGCGACCGGGCCCAGAGCCAGTATCTCGCCAACCGGTCCTGAAGCCATTTTTCAAGGACCCAGGTCTGTACTCGGTATGCAGATTGTCTGGGACGGCTGGGAGGAGGGAGCTGGCGGAGGCTGAAGAAGCTGGACGCCCCCGCCTCCCCCAACGTCCCCTTTTCGGCGCCGCCACCCGGTGAGGGTCCGGGCACCTGGCCGGTCTCCACCTCTTGTCAGCCTGCGCTCTCTGGTCAGCCTCGGGGTCCCTTGGGGTTTCCCCATCGACGCCGCGTGGTCTGGGGGCCCGGCCCGAGAGCGCCTGAGGCTGGGGGCGCGGAGACCCTCCCCCTCGCGGGGCCCTCCCGCCGCCGAGGCCTCCCACGTAGCGTTCTGAACCCGCTGGGCGCTAAGGCAAGAAGGAGCGTGGGGAGCGCGCAGGGCGAGCAGAGGCTCTAAATCTTCCTTCAATCTGTGAGTGGATGAAGTCTGAGAAACAAATTCAAAGCAGGCGCGCCTGCAGAGCCTTCCTGCAGAAATACTCCCCGGCATTCAAGCGCATCCAGGGGCGGCCCGAGCTGCCTTGTTTGGCTAAGGTCAGACGAGACTCGGGTTCTCCAATAAAAATAAATCTCAAATTAATTATGGCCTCGAGCGAGAGGCCAGACACTTGAAGCTGCAGTTGTGCAGTCTGGAGTTTTGCCGCTCGCTCGCCCGCCCCCGCTCCTCCCGCCCTCCTCGCCCCCCTCTCCCCTCCCCCTCTCCCCCCTCCCCGCCAGCTCGGATACCCTGGGCAGCCTTGCTGGGCCGAAGAGGGAGAGGGGGCCGGAGCGGGAGGGATCCGCCCGAGACGCTGTGCCAGGCCTGGCATCCCTCGGAGTTTCAAGTGACCGAAGCGCCCCGGAGTCCCGAGACACCCCAGGGACCCGGCTGCCGCTGTCGCGCCCTCCCACCCCCAACCCGGGCAAGGACCAAAGCAGCCCGGGAAAGCCGCGCCTGCAAAGTCTTGACCCGGTCAAAAGGGCTGACATTGAGCGAGCCAAGACACGTTTCGCCCCGCCGCTCCCCTCCCGGGGGAAGCAGCACTTCCGCATCTTTGAAAATACTGTCAAGTGCGAACGGTGCGAGGCAAGACAGCTCGCCGCTTTCCAATGAAAGTGCTCCAAATCCAATTCTTCCCTGAATATCCGCCCGCGTGCGCGCTTTAGAAATGTGCCATGCACTGTTTTGTTGTAGGAGTATTTTTTTAAAAAAAAAACGAGTTGGTAGTTTTTGTTTTAAATGCTCAGCCAGGGCTTCCTTGGCTGTGTTTTCCCCGAGTTGAAAGCCAGAGCTGGGCGGATGGAATGGGGCCCGATGGTACCCGTAGCAGCTCCTGGGCACCAGCCCTGCCCAGTCTGGGAAAGGGAAGGGTGAGCCAGGAAAGAGGGTGTGTGCCAGTGTGTGGGCTCCGGGCTAGGCCTGGAGACCAGGGAGGGGCAGCATGGAGAGAGAGAAAGGGATGCAGGGGAGAGGAAAGAAGGGGGTGAGGAGGAAAAGGGAAGCCCCCCCCCCCCCCAGGACAAGACAGCTTCCCTTTGCAGCAGGCCTCACCACAGACTCTGTATCAATTTGTCTCAATGCAAACATTCGAAATATTCTCTTTGGCTGCTAGTGAAAACATTGTGAGCTGCCAGGATCAAACCATCTTTCCAGCTGTCCAGTGGTAACCACATGAAACAGGACCGGCTTGTTTACTGTTGTGTTTGCTTAGGGCTGTTCCCCTGTTCAGGATTTCAAAAAGCAGCAGCAGCGAAGTTGAACACCAAACCCAAGTTACATTAGATGGGGCACACTTGCCCACCAGCATGTCAGCACTGGGCGGAGAGAGTCTGACAGTCAAACTGAGGGACGCACAGAGCTTGATGCTGGGGGTGTGTGTGTGGGGGGGTGGCTTCTGGCTTCTTTCTGGGTGGAGACCCCTGTGCAGGGGCAGGACCGCTCTGCAGCAGTGTCAGCTGAGAGTCACAAAGATTCAAGCAATGGTGTCTGTGTCGTCATCTTCCCCATCGTGAAATTGCCCTGGCTTTGGTTTTACACGCTGAAACAGAAAGTGCTATAGGGTTCCAACAGCTAGCACAGCAGAGCAAGTCTCATTCCAATCCAGTTTCATACCAGAGAACCTCCAGTGGGAGAGGCATATAGTGCCAAGAGGAGTTGGGGGTGAGGGGCAAGTCCAGGGCTGTTGGAGTGACTACCGATCGGTCATTTGTGGGGCCAACAGGAGTTGGAAAAAGCAACCTAACAATCGTGTTTGCCACAGAGGTGCTTTCTAAAGAGCTAGGAGGGTGTGTGTGTGTGTGTGTGTGTGTGTGTGAAGGGGGTAGTTCCCACTTGTTGGGGGGCCTGTGATGCGCCTCTGTGCCCAGCACCAAGAAGAGGGCCTCTTTCTGCTGGAGCTGTTGTCCTTTTTGGCTGTGAAAGAGGAGCAATGTGGCTAAGGGTGCCAGGTCTCCCCACACCCTCCTGAACACCCAGTTGTCGTTTGAAGGTCGGTGGAGTCTGGGCTGAAAAGGAAACAATTTGGGGTTTGAAAGGATGTAATTCATTCTTCTTTTCCCTTTAACCTCTTTCCTCTCTGGAAAGCATGTGGAAACGCTGAAGGGAAGAGCAGGAGGGCGGGAGGCCGGCTGCGGGGAAGAAAGGGTTAAGCCTGATTTCTTTTAATTGAGCTCCAGAACTGGTGGCCCCAGGCAAAGGGGGGGGGGGAGGACTGACCCCGCTAGCGGTAACCAGATGTGGCGGTCCCAGGGGAGCCCCGTAGCAGACCCCTGGATTGAGAAGCAGACAGGAGAGGGGGGAGTCGGCCAGCCCCCATCCCACCATCCACCACCCCCCACTCCCACATTGAGTCTCAATTGCTGGCAGGCTGCACCCGCTACTCCAGGTCTAGTCACGTTCAGACCCGTGTCTATAGTCAAACCCCAAATTGGAGCTGAATTGATGAGACTAATTTTGAGAGGGGGAGGAGGGAGGGATGGAGGGAGGCGAGCGAGCTCTCTGGGCTCAATTGCTCCTGAAGAAATAAAGAATTAATAAGTCACCTTTTTCGCCGCCGTGGACACCCTGTTGAATATTTTTTTTTTTCTTTCCAATTCATTCGGATCTCCTCTGGAATTTTTTTTTTCCTCTTTTCCCGTGCGGACTCTTAAATAAAAGTGGGAAAGTCCAAAGCGTGGTCTGGAGAGCGTGGACAAGGTAACCTGTCGTGGAGATCGGGGAGATCGGTGTCAGGCCGAGAGCGCCAGGACCCCAGAGGCTGCCCGAGTTGGGGCGCGCGGCGGCACAGCGGCGGGACAGGGAGGCTCCGGGTGGGCCGGACCAAGAGCAGGGCCGAGGGGAGGCCGATCTCGCGGCCGGGTGCGGATGCCAGTGCGGAGCGTGCAGTCTGGGTCGGTGCCGCGCCGTGGCGGGGTGCGCTACGGGGACCCGCTGGCTAGCCGTAGCGTCAGCTCCTTGGGGGGCCGGGGTGGAATCGGAAGGACGCTGTGACCCGGGAGTCTGGGCTTGGGCCGTCGAGTCCGGGTAAGCGCGAGGGGTTTGACCCTCCCACCCCCAAAAGCTGCCGATAGGCGACAGAGGGTGCCGTGGGTCCGTTCTCTCCGCGGGCGCCGGGAGCCCAGCACCGAGGCGCGGCGGCGCTCGGAGGGTGCCCCTCCGCTAACAATGCGCTGCGAGTGGAGCCGCGCCCCCGACGGCGCGGGGCAGTCCCGAACCGCTCCGAATCCGCGCCGAAGAGTGGTTGAGCTTCTCGGCGAATCCGCTGCATCTCCGCAGGCGAGGGCCCGAGTGGAAAAAGTTCCACCGGGTGCACTTTCCAGCGGTTGGTTTGCCTCGGTCTGCGTCCGGCTCTTCCCAGGCAGCAGGCGCCAGGTTATCCCCAGTCCGGGTAAACCCTCTGCCGACTCCCCCCCCCCCCCCTCCAAAGTTTGACTCCGGCTGGAAAAAGCATTAATGAACGTATCTGTGGGAAGAAACGGAAAGTGAATGAGTCAGGAGGGCCACCTTCGGCCAACGGCCCCGGGAAAGGAAAAAGGCCAAAAGGCATTTGGCCTTGGATTTGGGGGGGAAGGTGATGGGGCGGGGGGTTGCAGACGGCAGGAATCCGCGCGCTGGCGCGGGGCGTGGACCCCGTCATTGTTCCCGGCCAGCTCTTATCTCCCAGGAGCAAGTATCCTGTGTGCGCAGTGTGTGAAAGTGTTGGGCATCTCCGCTATATTTATATAGTGTGTGATGCGAAAAGCAGGACCGGGCGGCGAGGGGAGGAAGAGGGGGTGTGGGGGTGGGAAGACGAAGGCGAGCAGAGAAGAGAGGAGAGTGCGAGGAGAGAGAGAGAGAGAGAGAGAGAGAGAGAGAGAGAGAGATAGGACTTCCTCCCCGATTCGCAAAGTGAAGTCACTTCCCAAAATTAGCTGAAAAAAAGTTTCATCCGGTTAACTGTCTCTTTTTCGCTCCGCTACAACAACAAACGTGCACAGGGGAGCGAGGGCAGGGCGCTCGCAGGGGGCACTCGGGGAGGGCCCAGGGCGCCAGGGAGGCCGCGCTGGGCTAATCCGAAGGGGCTGCGAGGTCAGGCTGTAACCGGGTCAATGTGTGGAATATTGGGGGGCTCGGCTGCAGACTTGGCCAAATGGACGGGACTATTAAGGTAAGCGGCGGGCACTGGGCGGCGGGGCGGCGGGGGCGCGGGGCGCGGGGTGCCGGGGTCCCGGAAGACGTGGCGGCTTTCCCTTCCTTCCGCGCCCCCGGCTTCGCGCCGTCTCGTTCGGCGCAAGTAGGGGTGGCGGGTCGGACTCTCGGGGAGACCGGCCAGGCTCCCCAGCGAGGGCGATCTTCCTCGCACCCCCTGCCCCCGAGGTGGAGCCCGACCCTCTCCCACCGTGCTGCCGGCTGGGCTGCGGCAGGGGGGCGGCGTGAAATCCGGGGACCTGGAGCGCGTATCGGAGTCTGGGGCTGGAGCTCTGGGTCCGGGGCCACCGCTCCCACCCGGCCACCAGGGCGCCCCGGCCTCGGCGCTGGGCACTCGCCTGGCGGCCGGCTCCGTCTCGCCAGAGGCCGAACGCGGTGGGGGCGGGGGCTGCAGGACCGAGCTCGGGTCCCTGCCCGGTGGGCCCTGGCGCGGGTATGCGGATTGGCTGCGCGAGGACAGGGGTGCGAGGGAGAGCGTCCGGGGTCTGTCTGAGCGGGCTCTTCCAGATGGAAGCCCCTGTTTACATATCAGCACAGACTGGTTTCCCTTCCCTCTCGGTCCTTCTGTGGCCGGCTCCCCGGTACTAATCGGCCGGCCTCGTTGTTTCTCCGGCTTAGAATCTGCTTCCCAGCCTCGGTCCGCGCAGCTCCGGGGCGCCCCGGCCCTCCGCGTTTCAAAGAGGGGCCCGAGCCCTTCGGAGCCGCTCCGGCTGCCTCGCCTGTCCTCCCAGCCCCGCCGCCACGCCGGAGGCTGCGTTTGCAAAGTGCAACCGGGAGGGCCGGGGAGGCTGTGGGTTCCGAGTCGCGCTTGGGAAGGGTGACTGCTGCTCCCTCTGAAAGGGGGAAGTGGGAGCGAGGAGCAGAGAGGAGGGACACCCCCTAATAGGACTGGCCTTAGAGGACCTGGGGGAATGAATGGGACCCGAGTTAACCGGGAGGCCGCCGCGCCTCGCCAAGCAAGGGCTTGTCTGGAAAAACTATTAGGCTGGTGAGGTGGGGACTGGCAGGGCGCGCCATTCCCCGGAACCCAAACGAGCTAACTCCCCATTCAGAGCTGAGTGAGAGGAGGCTGAGATAGATGCCGGGCTCAGAGGATTCGAGAGATTTTTATCAACTGGGTGGGGTGGTGGTTTTTATTTTCTAAGTTGTGTGTGTGTGTGTGTGTGTGTGTGTGTGTGTGTGTGTCTGAAAGTTTGAAATATGCTGACTTGGGTGGAAGGCACCAACCAAAGCGACTTGAAAATCTGGAGATGAGATGACTGATTGTAACGGGGAGTAAGAGCCGGGGTTCCTCAATCTTAAAGGGAGTGGGTAAGAGAGGATGCCTCTGTAGACCTGCAAGGAGGGGTCCCTGGGCCACCTCTGCCTGTTTCTCTGCTTGCTGGTGGTGTGTGCACGCAGGTGGCTCTGGATCCCCAGGCTTCATAACGACAGGTTCCGCTCTAGAAAGCTGGCCCTGGCTCCATTCAGGATCCTTGGCACTTACCCCCCTACCCCATTGCCCCTTCTGATGGGGGAGGGTGGTAAGATAGTTCCAGGATCTTGATGTGGACACCCTAAGGAGAAGTGAAGCAATAGCTCCACACTGCTCAGACCTCTATGCATAGGCCCTGAGCAGAGAGGGAGGAAGCTGTGGTCTGTGTACCCAGGATGTGCTAACCCTTCAGATGCACACAGGGATTGGCAGGGCAAGCGGCGAGGAAGCCTCAGACCAACTGTTCTTCATGCCAAAGAGGAGAGCAAAGGTCCCCCTTTCTCGTGTGGGTGGTGGGAGCCTGGGAGCCTCTCCCAGACCTTCCCATGAGCACTCTAGTCTGTCACCTGAGTTCCTTGGCGACACAGAGGCACTCCCGGCTCCCAAAGCAGTGGCTTTGCACACCCCGAAGTTCTGAAGGCATCAGTCGCTAGCTTATCCTTGGGTATTTAAATTGTGTGGAAGCCACAGTTTCCTGTTCATGTGTGACCTTCGGATCTTGGGGTTTCCAGATCCCACTCCCACATTGGTTTAAGTACTGTGCCTGGAGAAGAGAGTGGATCAGGAGTGTGGCCAGCTGACTTCTGCTGTCCTTGTAGAAAATGCACAGTCCAGTGCGCATGTCTAAGCTTCCTAGTCTCTGTAAACAAAACGGTGGGACTAAGTTACCTCTACAATAGTGTATTTCCAATCTTCTGTATGCCTAACATGTCGTGATCACGGGCTCTCACCTACACGGGCACTAAATGCCGTGTTATGCTGGTAGAGGTCTGGAGACTACAGGTCAGGTCTAACATGTAGACACAAATCCAGAATGTGCACTTCCGGTTTGAACACCCGAAGACAAAATCAGCTGTGAATGATTCTAGCATGAGATCTGATGCACCTGCATATTTCTTCCTCAAATACAGGCATTTCTGCATGTAAAAATGCCTGCCGGTCTTAGTGCTCAGAAGGTATTTTGTCCAGGATCTCAGGAAGTCTGGGTTTCTTCACAGAGGCCCTTTATTTTGGTGCATCATTTGAGCAACTCCATGTGATAATGAAACCCTTACTTGTTGTCTTTGGTATAATAAGTCCTCCCAAGTTGTGAGTTGTGTCCTCTTCTGTCTTCCAAGAATGTCCCCTGGGGAGGCTCTGAGCACCCCCTCCCCCATTTGCAGGAGCCATGCTGCTCTTCTTTTGCCACATACAAGATAGCTGCAATATTGAACAACAGTCTGCCCCACCCCTGTTCCCCACAGTGATACTATCAGTGTTGAAAAACACGTGGTACTGCTTGCTGCTTTAAGAAATGACCTGGTTTCAAAAAACATATCTTAGCGCTAGACCTGCTTCCATCGAACCCAGTCAATGTGCTGTATGGAAGCTTGGTCCACAGCAGGTGCTGCCTTAAAGCCGGAGAATCATCACTGAAGATGCGGAGGTGGGGAATGAGATTGGGATATGGGAATTGAACAGCAAACTTGGAGTCAGAAGACATGGGTTCATTCTCAGCTCTGCTGTTTACTTGCTGTGTGCTTTAGAGCCTTGAGTCTCAATTTCTTCACGTTTAAAAGGAGGCCAAGACACTTCCTTGCGACAAGCCACAGTAAGGACTGAACAGAGTCTGCTGCCTCAGCCAGATTCTCATTAGCTGAACTCCTTTGGGATAAGGCTTGTGAGGACTGACCAGTCAGAAAATTGGATCACAGGTCTGGATTTATCATAACGCATAATCTGTTAATTCCAAAAGTTATTTATGAGGTGTCTATTATAAGTGTCCTTCAACAAAAGTTCATGAAAAATAGAATTAAAAGGTAAGTTTATTAGAGTGCAAAAATGTTGAAATCCATGCACAGGAGAGGTCTTTCAACAGTTTTTGGAAATGCATTTAATGAAAAACTATACATGGGTTTCACATTTTTGTATCAAAATAAACTTATGTTTTAATGCCATTTCCCATGACATGTTTGAAGTACCCTGCCTGGTGTATTCCAAGGTTTTGCCTTGTGTATTGAGGATAGAACAG